AGATCATATTTGATTTAAATGTCAGCTAATAATAAGTTAAATAGTTGTGTGTGTTTTTTAAAATATGTTTTATTGCCCTGGCTGGTTTGGCTCAGCGGTTGGAGCATTGTCCTGCGGACCAGAGAGTCCCGGGTTCGGTTTCTGCTAGGGGCACATTCCAAAAAATATATATATATTTTTTTCTTGATTTTTCTAGAGAGAGATAGAAACATTGATGTGAAGAAGAAACATTGATTGGCTGCCTCCTGCATGCCCCCTGCTGGGGATCGAGCTTGCAACCCTGGCATGTGCCCTAAGGGAATGGAATTTATTAGTCCATTGATGCCGCTCAATCCACTAAGCCACACCTACCGGGCTAAATAGTTTTTATAAAGTTACCCTTAGGAATATTTTATAATTATATTCAGAAAATAATGTACTTAGAGTACTAACTTTAGACAATTCTTTAATCCATGAGTGAAATTGATATTGATAAACTCTAAAAATGGTATTTATAGAACAGTTAAAGGGTGAAGCTTTCTTTGTCACTGAGGTGAGTTGACCATTGTCATTGTCTTCTACTTGGCTTGATATATTAGGAATTCTAATCTTCTTGAATGGATAAGTCAATGAATGAGTGAATGTGAAAGTGCATATAAGGTACTTAATACAGGGACAGCTTTAATAAATGATAGTTATTATTAATAATGAGTATATCAGGATATGTGTTTGTCACAACTAAAGTGGCCCAAACATTAGCATAGCAAGATGATTTCTCTTACTGGCCTTGAAAAATAACAAATTGTCCTGTACCTTTTCTTTTAAAAGCTTATCTTTTTATTTTGAAGTAACTTTGATGTGTGAAGAGCTTCAGATTAGAACACCAATTAATCATCTGTCAGATAAATAAAATATGGTGCATGGGTGCAGTAGTTGGTTTAGGGACATTAGTTACAGTCTGTCAATTAAAAAATTTTAATTTACAGTTATGTGCAAAACTCCATGCTTAATGAATGAGTTACATAAAGAAATGTAAGACATAGTTTGTCCTCAAGGAGTTTACAATGTGGTTGAAAGATAATACATGCACATATAGAAAGTTATGGAAAAGTTCAAGTTATTGTTTCATTGATGTAGTTTTCTCTTTATTTCATATAAATAAGTGTTTTCTTGGTCTCTTTTCCTCTCTACTTCTTATTTTTTTATTTTATTTTTTTTTATCCTCACCCGAGGACACTTCTTGTTCAGATAGAGTAGGAGGGAGAGAGAGAGAGAAACATCGATGTGAAAGGGACACATCGAGTGGCTGCCACCCACACGACCAACCAGGGCCGGGGACAAACTGCAACCAAGGTACATGCCCTTAGAGGGAACCGAACCCGGGTCTCTCAGGACCGCAGGCTGATGCTCTAACCGCTGAGCCAAACCGGCCAGGGCTCTACTTCTTTATATACTTGTTTTTAATTCTAAATATACCCTTTATGCCTATTTTTATAATTCAATCCATAGCCTCCATTAAGAAGCTCCCCTGATTTATGAATTAGCAAAATAATTTCTCTGGCAATGAAACACTTTCTAACTATGCCTTTGTCATTTTCTATTTCTAAGCATATTTAATCACACTGCTCATCTTTATTCTTCAAGTATTTGGGTATAATAATTTTTGTTGTGGGGAGAGGTTGTAATATCTTAATCTACTTGAACTTCTGATTTTAGCTTTGTGAAAGAAATACTGGAAAGGACTCAGCAGTTGGCCTTTTTTTCAAGATCAAATCTTAAAGTCTTTCTTCATCCTTTCTAGAAATTTAGATATATGTCTCTATATACTAGGACAAGTGAGGGACTAGATAGAAGTTGTTAGAAGAACATTTTCCAAAAATCCTTGGTTACTGACCTTCTAAGAACAGTTTCAGCTGTTGTAGGTTTGAAATGTAAATAATTGAATCTTGCATAATAATAGATTTATGCTGTTATTTGAGTTGGGTTTTCTTGCCTTTTGTGGAAATAAAAGGACTCTAGACATTTTCTAGCTATGAGAGAAGAAGTCATTTCTTCAAGAGTTCGAGTCTGCCATTCAGTGTAGCTGCTTTACAGGTCTTGGAAGGTTGCAAGTTTTGGGGAGCCTGTGCATTTTATCTTTTTTAAAGTGTTTCTGTTTCTCTTTATTTTTATTGTCTACACTATTACAGATGTCCTATTCCTCACCACCACCCCCTTGCCTGCCTCTACCCTTAAAGTGTCATATCTTTCTTTTAAAGTCTTAGCCTTTAATTGAATTGAAGGATACTATGACCTCCTGTCCTTGCTGTTTTCAGGATTATTCCTTTAGTTTTCTTACAGCATTGAAAGTTGCTGATTTGGTTACAAATAATTCTTTTTTGTTATTAAATGTCTTTTTGAAACATCTGTTCTATTGCGACAGTTAGGTTTTTTATCCTCAATTATGATTGTACCAAATCCTTTAGCTGGAAACTTTAATAGAAGATCACTTCTGAAAAAATAATTCCTGTTTAAAATGGGAAAAAAAAAATAATTCACTTTCTTTCTTAATTTATTTCTTCTACTCTACTTGTCCATTCATCTATTGAAAAACCATCTTTTTGAGGAGTCATCTTAAGTTCTAAAATGGTATAATGATTTTAAATCTTAAAAAAAAAAAAAGAAAAACATGTTTAGTATAAGATTAGCCATGGTTTATAATTTTCTTAATTGTGAAATAATAAACAAATTTAAGGTACCTAAATAAAGCTGCTCTAGTGGGAAACATTTTCTGAAGCTAATGCTTGTTCTTTAGTTTTTGTTAGTACAGCTACTAACATAACATTTTAAGGTACACCCATTCATTATTTAAATTATTAGTGCCCAATTCACAACTTTTAAAAACAAAAAATTTGAATACAGAGCAGCAAGTCATTAAGCTGTATAATAGCATCCTTTTTTTTTGTTTGTTTGAAAAATTGTGTGAAAGATGTATTTATGCATATATGAAGGTTTGCAAGTTATACTGAATTATTTGTGGTGAGGGACTGATTTATTTAGTATATTTCTGTGTTGTTTGAATTTTTTGGTCAGGGAAAAAAGTGGAATTAAAAGGTGTCGGTGATAAACTTGTAAGTGCAATTGGTGTTGAAAAGTGTTCCTTCCATCAAAAAGTAGATGATCTCTAAGCCTTCAGAAAAGACCACTTTACTGGATTGCTTTTATGCTTGGATATAATATATCCACATAGTATATAGCAATGCGTTAGACCCTTGCATTCTAATATTCAGGATAAATTTAATTGTATCATAGGGTGGAGAAATAATATAATTGAGTGAAAAGACTGAAGGTACTAATTCTGCTACCTAGAGTAGTATGTTAATTCTTTTAGTATGTTAATTAATTAATGTGATCATTGCAAAGGCCAAAATGAATTCAGTCAGAAATATCATGATATAATTTGCATCCCATTTTCTGTGTGATCATAAATTGTTAGATATTGCAACATATGTAACATAAACCACATGTCAGCTGTTTCCTGCTTCAGTGTTGACAAGAGCCCCATTCATAACTCTTCTTTTTATCCTTTCAGTGAATAAGTAATTATTCAATATAGAAGGCAGGATATTTGGAACTGGCTATTTAATGTGGCAGCACTCTGTAATGAAATCTGCTGTTACTGGCAACCTGAGAGGGGAATGTAACAATTCCAGCATAGCTGTAACTTTATCTGCTTTGACTGTTTATTTGGCACATCAGTGAACCTTTTATCCCAGTGAGTGACAGTTCCAGAAGGGTCACATTTACATCCATTCTATCATGTATTGTAATATTTAATGGTGGACAAGGTTGAGCGAGACTGGGAGTAATTTGAACTTGCTTTTCCACTGAGTTGAGGCTAAAAGACAGCTTGATCCTCAGTATTGTGGTGTAACATGCAATGACTTAGCATTTGTTGATGAAGGCTAATCTTACTGATTATAATTTTTTAAAAAAACTTCAGTTAAATGGTATATTTGTTCTACTAAACTATAACTCTCCAGTACAAGTTCTCTTAAGCTGCTATGCTACTTAGTTTTTTTCCCCCATCAGTGACCATTTCTATAAACTAAGTATTTCACGGTATTTCTCTTAATGAGGCTGCACTCTGTCCATTGTGCGTAGTAATTAAGGTTAAGTTAGGTAGTTGTTATTGAGAACCCATGGGTTCTAATATATAGCATTAAATTGTTTTTCATTTTTGAATGTTTAGAAACAGGAGAGAAAAAGAGTCAGGTAAACATTAGATTATATTCCTGAAATTCCATATATGGTATGTTTAAGGAGACAGTTATATAATTATTTCAATTATGAAACTGAATTACTAGTAAAATTGTCCAGGAAAAGCTATCCTGAATGATAATTTTACTGATGGATTTGCATTCTATGACAAATAATTGAATTTCAGATATACTTGTTCCCCACAAGCAACCTGCCTTTATTATTAAATATTAATAATATGCATTCATTTTCATACCTTTGCTAGAGAATAGTTTTCACTTCTGTTGTTCAGTGATACTTCAGATTCAACTTGATATTTCTATTATTTTATAAGCTATACTTTATACACTTTAAAATATTGGTATAAGATATTTAAATGGGATAGGCTATGAACACAAATAGTACTATCAGTTCTAAGCTAAAATATCACAAGTTCACTTGAAGCCTAAGCACAAATTAAAATGATCCTCAATTTTGTCTTACTATTTTTATAATTTATGAAAGAAGTAAATCAAAATGTATTTAAAGCATTTGGAATTTTAGAGTTAGAATGGTATGTTAGAAACCAGTGCAAATATGGAAACGTCATTTATAAGTTTTAAGAGTGACAGAGAACCAATTTGAAGTGGAATTTGTAGTTTTTCTTTAATGGTAAGTTTTAGATGGTATCTTGATATTATTTGACAGTTGTGATTCATTACTATGGGTTCTGATTCTATGAGAGGTTTGATAACATTTTTATGGTAGTCCAGACATTAGTTATCTTTTTCTTTTTTGTACAGCTCTCTGGCCCCTGTTGTAGGTGCTGTTGTTCTGCTAAACAAGGAAACAGTCAAGATTCTTCAAATGCCATTAAGAAGGATCATGGGGGGAAATCCAAGATACCAAAAATATATTTTGGGACACGTACACACAAGCAGATTGCTCAAATTACTAGAGAGCTCCGGAGGACAGCGTACTCGGGGGTCCCAATGACTATTCTTTCCAGCAGGGATCATACTTGTGTCCATCCTGAAGTAGTAGGTAACTTCAACAGAAATGAAAAGTGCATGGAATTGCTGGATGGAAAAAATGTGAGTAAAGTTATTTTGTTTTAGAGAAAAATAAGTCTGAAAGGATTAAAAATACTCAATGTTTTGTGTTTCTTTTTTTTAATATGTACATTTCTAGTCATAGTTAAATAAAGTATGAAAATCAAACTTATTGCTAGTTTTGATATTTTTTGAAAACTAATATTACCACAAGAAAATCTTTATTCAAGTTTAAAATGACAGTTTCTGTCCTAAAGTTTGGGGATATTATATTCTTTGAAATTCATTTCCATTTTAATCAGATGTCTTCTTACTTCCTTCCAAGTCCCCTACCAAAAATAGTCAAATATGGATGATGTCATATGAGGAGATAAAAGTATTTAAATGATTTAGTCTAATTAGATTTAATTAATGTCTTATACATACTTAAAATGTCAAAGGAATGTAGTTGATTTAGGCTTTCTTTGAGCAAATTTTAAAATGGTTTATAATTGAATGAGAAATATAATGATTATCTGTCTTATTATTCTGATTAGCACAAACTTCTTTTTCCAAAAAATTATATTAAATTACTAACTTTAAAGATATGTCATTGGTGGTTTTGAAGTTTTCCAGGGAAATCTAGATTAACATGAATTTGGACTAGGTGGAAATAGAAAGTCTTTCTTACTAAAAACACAATTTTAAAATAATTTTTTGGTAAAGTATTAGTTTGGTAGTTTGTGTACCTCTTTGATAACTAGTTTACTCTAAAATGGAAATTACGAGTCTGGAGTTACACCCAGAAATTATTGGTGAACAAATAAATTGATAATATTTGAAATGACCAGTGATATTTAATATATTTTGAAAGTTCTGTCTTTCACTAGTATTTTGTCAGAGTTGTCTTTATACAAAAGGCTATAAACTGTAGCTCTTAGAGTTTCATTTAATTGGTATATCACCTTCTACTATATAATGTAAATAAATTATTTTGTATTATGTATTTCTTTTTCAGTGCTTTCTTTTATTAGAGAGAAATTTATTCAAGCTTTGTTTGGGGATATTCAAAAGATGCAGTAGACATTCAAACATGTGAAATATGAAATAATAAATACTAAAGAACTTAAGTGGAAAAACTTAAGTGGCTTGTTCAGAGCCAGGAAAAGAATATAGATTATTGGATCAAAATTATTGTTGAAATACTATTTATATTTATTTCTAGTAAGTTCTTTTTAACTGAGGAACTGTGAAATCTTCCCAATATTTAAAAAGTTCTCTTCAGGGAGAGATGAAAATAGTAAAAGTCAAATGCTAAAAAAAAAAAAAAATAGTAAAATAGGGAAAAGGCTCTTTATGATAAAACCCCATAAATTTTATCTTTAAGTAGACCCCTTTCCATAAATGGCTAATTAATCTACTGGATTCCTCCAATTCTTGAAATTTGTCTTTTGTCTATATAATCTATGTAAGAAGACTTGCTGGCATTGTCATTTTTTTTTTTATTACTTCTTGTTGTGAAAATTATAACAATTTATTATTTGTTATCTCATTATTAAAAGCAGTTGTAAAGTTTAAGATTGTGCATTGAAAGCAAATAGTCTTATTTTATGGAATCCTCTAGAATCCTGTAGTGCTTATTATGTTTTTTTTATTGATCTTTACTGTCAAAGTTTGAATAATGTAAAAATAAAAAGTAAACTAGTAGACTTGAATGTTCAGAATTTTTCATTGGCATTTAGTTTCTCTTTTAAAGTAAACAAGTCTTTTGTTTTTTAATATTAGCGTATACATAATGAAAGGTACCTGCTTGTAGTTGCTTGTCTTCACCTAATTCTGCCTCAGAATGCTTAGCTCATAGGCATACATGAACCTTCTTTTCCTTGTTCCCAAGCCCGCAGGGTAATTTGGTATTGTAATGAGGGCCAATTACAAAGTCACCATAGGTGTCTATGTTTACTGTGCCTGAATTACCAAAGCGAAATGATAAATAGATAACTGACAGTTTGAGTGAAAAAGAGTTTAAAGTGTGATAACGCTTCAGTTGACAGACTCCCCTCAGGGTTGAGTTACATTGTTAAAATGGATGAGCTTTTCTGGTTTTGCTATCAGCCTGCACAGGAGTGTCATTCTAAGTGCCCTTAAAGTGTAAACTTTCTGATTTTTTGGCTTGATCCAAAGGCACATGTGTTTTTGTTCACTGTTTCTTTTACTAAAGTGAAAAAGCAATGCATTTATCTGTTTAGAGTTCATTTTGTTTCAGTTAAGAAAAAATTAACTAGCCCCAGAAAAAATTCTTTAAAAATTACTTTAGGTATGGAAGAATATTTATTTTTTGTTGAGATGAGATTTAACACTTTTGAATCACAAACTCTGAAGCACCTATCTTAGTGATCATTTTATACAAATACAAGTTTTCCAAATAGTACGGAAGATATTTGGAATGAAAATATGGTAAATATCATATTATGAAACTCAGTTGTATCAAACTCATATGAAAGATACTTGGCATATCTCTCCCTGTCTCTGGACTCCAGAATCATAAAATTTTAAAGCTGGAAGGAACCTTAGAAATGTATACTATGAACATAGTTAGAAATGGGTATACAGATACTCATTACAGCATTATTTATAAAGCCAAAATTAATAATAGTCTTAAATGTTCAATAATAAAATGGTTCATCAACTGTGGCACATTAATTCCATGTACATATGTGGACAACAATGAAAAAATACTTAGTGATGTGAGAAAGCATTTCTTATAGGACGTTACTAAAATAGGCTGAGAGAAAAAATGATCCCAGTTTAAAACACTTTAAAAAGTGTTTTTTTGTCGCTAGATTGTTAATAATCCTCGAGGCCTGGGGAAAATTTGCTTATTTTTGTTATTTTATTTTTATTTATTTATTTTTATCCTCACCCGAGGATATTTTTTCGTTTTTCGGTCAGATAGAGTGGGAGGGGGAGAGAGGAAGAGAGAGAGAGAAACATCGACGTGAAAGAGACATATCGAGTGGTTGCCACCGCACGACCCAACCAGGGCCGTGGACAAACTGCAACCGAGGTACGTGCCCTTAGCAGGAACCGAACCCTGGTTTCTCTGGACCGCAGGCCGATGCTCCAACCGCTGAACCAAATAGGCCAGGGCTTTTTTTGTTATTTTAATACTGGGTCACATTGTAATGATATATCCATTCATATGTACTACATTTTTCCATATGTACCATATATTTTTCCCACTAAGACATTCCTTTCTCTCTAGCTCCTTCATTTCTTCTCTCTCTATTCTTTCTTTCTACTTATTTAGATTTGATTAAGTAATACTGTCTCATGACTCATTGAAAAGATACAAGTGTCTGTTGAGAAAGATCATTCCCTTTCCTGTTCCCAAGTCACTTAGCTCTCATCTTTAAAAGCCAATGATGCCATTGCTCTTGTATATCCATTCCGAAATATTTTTGCCCAGCATCACTTTAAACAGATCAAAGTCACAACAAACATAATTTAAAAAATATATTTCTCAGCCCTGGCTGGTTTTGCTCAGTGGTTAGAGCATCGTTCTGAGGACCAAAGGGTCTCAGGTTTGGTTCCCGGTCAAGGACACATACCTGGGTTGCAGGTTTGATCGTTAGCCCTGGTCAGGGTTGTGTGGGAGGCAACCAGTTGATGTGTCTCTCTCGCACTGATGCCCGCCCCCCTCCCGCTTCCATTCTATCTAAAAATCAATGGAAAAATATCTTCAGGTGAGGATCAACAAATATATATATTTCTCAAATTAACTGGGGTATCTAGTGCTATAGGGATCTGGATCTCTATTGAGTCAAGTAATATAGTGTCTTTAAAATGATTGGAATTGTAGATATGGTATAATTTGTCTCCTCTATAAAATCTTTGCTTTGTGGCTTTAATGATGTTCCTCAAGTTCTGAGATAAATTTGTTTCATTTCTTCTGTTCTAGTATTGGTTCACATTTCAGTTATGCATATTTGTTTTTAGGGCAAATCCTGCTATTTTTATCATGGTGTTCATAAAATTAGTGATCAACACACATTACAGACTTTCCAAGGAATGTGCAAGGCCTGGGATATAGAAGAACTCGTCAGCTTGGGGAAAAAACTGAAGGCATGTCCGTATTACACAGCACGAGAACTAATAGAAGATGCTGACATAATATTTTGTCCCTACAACTACCTTCTAGATGCACAAATAAGGGAAAGTGTGAGTAGATATGTAAAAATTAGAACTTTTCCCCCTACTTATGGAGGTATAAGTGGTGAATGTAAAAGCTTTTATGTTTTAATGTCTTTTATTTTTTGTTTGATAGTTAATCTGTGTAAGTGTATAAACATTAGAGTACTGAAAACATATTCTAAGGTGTAGTAAAAATGGAATTTTATACCTTGTTACTTTAATTTTCAAAGTAATAAGTGCTTTTAAGGATCTAGTACTCAAGTAGGATTATAACAGATTTTTTCATCACCTTGATAGTTATGACATTTTGGACTGGATAATTCTTTGTTGTGATGGGCTGTCTTGTGCATTATAGGATGTTGAATAGCATCTCTGGTTTTATCCACTAGATGCCAGTAGCACCCTCACATTGTAACAATCAAGTCTGTCTCCAAACTTTGCAAAATATCCCCTGGGGGGCAAAATTGCCCCCAGTTGAGACCCACTTATAGCTATCACTCTCTCCATTTATGAATAGTCAGAAAGAATTATTTTAAAACATTATTCTGAAGAATCTGTTGTTGGGAGAATATGCACACTATGCAAATTATGCTTTGTGAGCTTTTGAGAATTGAACTTTGTATGCAGCATTTGTGTTTATTTGCCTGGTTTTTCTTAGTGACATCCAAATGTTACAGCATAAGATAAAAAAACTGAATGACTTGGTATATTCAGTTATTTTTCTCTTTAGATCTAACTGCAAAACTCTCATTAGCTTTCTATTTCCTTAAGTTTGAAATTAATAGACATTATGTTTGCTACCCCTACTATCCTACCTCTTATTCTATTTCTTGGCTAGATCTCTTTCTTATGAGTGACTGTGCAGATCAGTGACAGATCAGTCTTCTAATATTACTTTTATTAATCTTTCCTCTGCTTAAAAATCTCTTACTGCTCTTTGTTCATGGGGTTAAAGTCCATATTTCTTAAGCTTGCTTTCAAATTGCTCAATAGTCTGACCTGAATCTGCCCTTTCAACTTTCTCTGCTGCAAAAGACCAACTTGAACCCCTCAAAAGTGACCTCATACTGGCCTTGGCCAGGTAGATCAGTTGGTTAGAGGATCGTCCTGATACACTAAAGTTTCGGGTTTGATCCCCAGTCAGGGCACATACAAGAATTAACTAATGGCCCTGACTGTTGTGGTTCAGTGGTTAGAGTGTCCGCCTATGGATCAAAGAGTCTTGTGTTTGATTCCCAGTCAAGAGCAAGTACCTGGATTGCAGGTTTGATCCCCAGCCCTGGTCAGGGTTGGGGGTGGGGGGGCATGAGGTGCATGTAGGTGGCAACCAATTGATGTGTCTCTCTCATATCAATGTTTTTCTCACTCTTTCTTTCCTTCTTACCCCTTTCCTCCCTCCCTTCCATTCTCTAAAAATCAATGGAAAATATATGTGAGGAGTGACAATAACAACAACAAAAATCAGCCAATGACTGCATAAATAAGTGGAACAACAAATTGATGTTTCTTTCCTTTTCCTTCTCTCTCAAATCAGTGAATCAATAGAAATTACCTCATAGTCCCCTGAGGATTTCATGTTCTTTCCTATATCTCTGCTTTTGATTACACCTGTGTTGAAATGCCCTACTCTCTCTTTGTCTATCTAAATCCTATTCTTCTTTAAACCCCAGTGTATCTCCTACTCTTCCATGGTTCTTAGTCATCTTCAATCCCGTTTATTATTACAACTCACTGACAGTTGCTTTGTGACATTTCTTTGTATTAGTCAGGACTCTTCCAATTGCAAGTGACACAAACTCAGCCTTAGTAGAACTTAAGAAAAACTATTTGACTAACTCCTCATTGTGATGGTTTTATGCTCAAGCAAGTTCTTTCCAATGGGAACAAAGAGAACCATAGGTAGCTAGCTAACACAGAAAAAAGAAACATGATCTTGTATTAGTCACTCCAAATTATTCTGATTGGCCTACTTTGGATCTCATATCCATTCTTGAACCAGTCACTGTGATCATGTAGGGATGGAATACTTTATTTAATTGGCAAGTCTGGTCTCTGAGTCTACCCATGTTGTAAGAGTGGTGATGTCCCTTGATAACAAATTAATAGTCCTACCAACATCACATAAGACTTGGGGAAAACCAGTTCTCAGAATGAAGTATCACAGGATAGAAAGATACATACTATATTACATTAATATTTTGAGAGTCTTTTGAATCTTGTATTGTCATTTTAGTTTTAAAAAGTTTTTTTACTCTGCTTTTTAAATTATGTTGGAGATTCCTTTATAGTGGGATTTTTATACCCCTTTGTGTATCAGCTGTACTTTGATCCAGGCTCACTTAACATTATTTTGGTTGTGATAGATTTGCAAAGTATTTTGAGACTGAAAAAGGGCAAACTCTATAATGTCGAGCTGATATTTGGTTGGCTGTAGTGCTTTAGAAGTTTTTAAGACCTAGAATCAGTTGCACTTTCAATATTAGCCTAGAGTGTGAATTTTTCAATGAAATATCTTGCCTACTGCTATTAAATTCATTTTGCTGACAGTTTTACAGGATTTTGTTTTTAAATCTTATAGATGGATATCAACCTGAAAGAACAAGTTGTCATTTTAGATGAAGCTCATAACATCGAGGACTGTGCTCGGGAATCAGCAAGTTACAGTTTAACAGAAGTTCAACTTCGGTTTGCTCGAGATGAACTAGATAGTATGGTTAACAATAACATAAGGAAGAAAGACCATGAACCTCTACAAGCTGTGTGCTACAGTCTCATTAAGTAAGGACATTTGTCTCTCAGTGTTGTTTGTGTTGCCTTTGTATTAAAACCACGTTTTATTATGCCAGAGTATTTTACAGTTAGTAAACTTTGCCCAGGCTACTTTGGAAATGGACGGTTTAAATATAGGCTAAACTTTTGTCTTATTCAAAAGAATATAATGGACAGAATCTATTTTTTTAAATTGATAATTGTGAATCTTATTTTTGGTTTAGCAAGATAATTTAATAGCCACATAGGTTGTGTATAGGACATTGTACTAAACAAAAACTAATAGTTTTAATGAACATTTAAAAATTCTGGATCATGACTTTTAAAAATTTTATTCAACTTAATTTTATTTTTTCCATCACCTTTTATCCTCTCTATGCCCTCTATCACCTCCACCCATACTCTTCCACCCCCAAAATCAGTACACTATTGTCCATGTCCATGAATTCTTTTTTTTTTTATCCTCACCCAAGGACACTTTTTCATTCTTTGTTCAGATAGAGCAGGAGGGAGAGAGAGAGAGAAACATCGATGTGAAAGGGACACATCGAGTGGCTGCCACCCGCACGACCAACCAGGGCCGGGGACAAACTGCAACCGAGGTACATGCCCTTAGCGGGAACTGAACCTGGGTCTCTCCGGACCGCAGGCCAACGCTCTAACCGCTGAGCCAAACCGGCCAGGGCCATAAATTCTTTTTTTTTTTACTCAATCCCTCTACTCCCCGCCCGAACCTCCCACCCCTACCCCCACAGTTGTCTGCCTGCTCTCTATCTATGAGTCTGTCTCTATTTTGCTTGGTAGTTCAGTTTGTTCATTAAATTTCACATATGAGTGAAATCATGCGATCTGTGCCTTTCTCTGGTTGGCTTATTTCACTTAGTAAAATGTTCTTCAGGTCCATTCATCACCTCTGGAAGTTTCTTTCTGCCTGTCTTTCTTTTTTATTTTTTTTTGTATGTAATAACACTTAATAAAAGATTTACCTTTTTAGCAAATTTTTAAGTATGCATTACAGGCACTGATCCATATATTGTCAAATCCAAAGGTTATTTTTCTGTAATCTTGCTTAGCTTCTTGGCATTGTTTGGTTTTGTTGACTACCACCTTTGTGAAATGTGTTTTTGTCTTAATTTCTGTGAAATAATAGAAGATACATATATTCATCTCTGTCTTTAGTACCTAACACAGAGCTCAAATCCCTTGGTATTTCCTGGTTGATAGGACTGTCTTTTGTTCTAATAAGGTAATGATTGTGGGCTCCTGGATGAGGGCTAGTCACTAAAAAGACCAAGCCATGATTAGAAACTTGGCACTTTTGGCCCTGCTCAGTGGTGAGAGCATCGACGCAAGGACCAAAGGTTCTCCAGTTTGATTCCCAGTCAAGGGCATGTACGTGTGCAGGTTGATCCCTGACCCCTGCGTGAGGCAACCTATCAATGTGTCTCTCTCACATCGATGTTTCTCTCTCCCTTCCTCTAGTCCATTATCTCTAAAAGTCATGGGAAAATATCCTTGGGTGAGAATTAAAAATAAAAAAGAAGAAACTTGATACTTTGGTGCTTTCAGCCCCACCTCCCCTCTGGGTAGGAAAGAGGGCCTGGAGATTGAGTTAATGATTGATCTTGCCTACATAATGAAGCCTTCATAAAAATACCAAAAGTATAGGATTCAGAGAGCTCTGGGTTGGGCAACACATCTGTGTGCTTGAAGGGTGGTGCATTCTACCTCTACAGAGATAAACTTCTGTGCTCAGAACCCTTCCAGACCTCACCCTATGTATCTATCTCTTTATCTGCCTGTTTCTTTGTTTATCTGTATCCTTTATTATATAATAAACCAGTAAACTTAAGTGATTCCTGAGTTTTGTGAGTTGTTCTAGTAAATGATCAAATCCAAGAAGAGGTCATATGAACTTTTCATTTATAGCTGGTTGGTCAGAAGCACAGATGACAACCTGTACTTTTATGATTGGCATCTGAGTTGGGAGTGGGATCAGGACAGTATTGTGAGACTGAGCATATAACCTGTGGGATCTTTGCTAATTCCTTATAGTGTCAGAATTGAATTGAGTTACAGTAATGTGCCACATAACAATGTTTTGGTCAATGATAGGTCACATATATGATGGGACCACATGTATGACAGTGGTCCCATAAGATTATAGTGGAGCTGAAAAATTTTTATGCCTAGTGATGTCATAGGCATCTTAATACTGTAGTTCAATGCATTACTCATGTGTTTGTGGTGTTAGTGTAAACAGACCTACTGTGCTGCCATACAAGTGTAGCACATACAATTATGTACAGTACACAATACTTGATAATGATAATAAATTATTATGTTACTGGTTTATGTATTTATTATACTATATTTTTTATTGTATCATTATTTTAGAGTATAATTTTTCTATTTACAAAAAAAGAGTTTGCTATAAAATAGTATGCCTCATGTTACACTGGCTTCATTCAGCCTCATACATCTCATGTTTACTGAGTCTCTTGGTTGCATCATTTTCTTTGTGCTTGATTTACTCTCCTGTTGTTTTATTCATCATGGACCTAAGAGTACAAAATGCACTGTTAATGTTGCCAGTATGAGGCTACATTGAGTATTGACCTAGAAACAAAATTAAGAGTAATTAAGGACTAGGCAAGTAGAAAATCAGTGATGGTCATTGCTTACCAGTCAGGCATTTCACATTCCACCATGGCTACCGTCTTGGAGAACAAGAACGAAGTGATGGAAGCTTTTAAAGGATCTGCTTTGTTGAAGGCAGTAAGACTAACGAGTATTCAACAAGGGCCCATACCAGACATGGAGAAACTTCTAATGACATGGATTGAAGATCAGACAAATGAAGCATATCCCTCTTAGTAATATGATGATCACAGTCAAAGCATAAAGTTTGTTAGCGATGTTGAAAGAGAAGGCTAGATCTGACTACAATGTTGAATTTACTGCTAGCTCTGGGTGGTTTAAATGATTCAAGAATTGTTATTCATTACATAATGTGAAAGTGGTGGCGAGTCTGAGTGCTGATGTGAAGGCAACTGAAGAATTTTTGGAAACTAAGATAAGCTGACTGGAGGAAAATTATTTGCCAGAGCAAATATTCAGTATGGCTAAAACCTTCCTATTCTGGACATAGATGCCTGAAAGGACTTTCATCCATAAGGAAACTAACTCAATGCCAGGTTTCAAGGCTTTATAAACAGGATAACTGTTTTGCTAGGGTCACTGATTCAGACAACAAATTGAAACCCATTGTGATCTTCAGGGCCATCAAGCATATCAGTAAGCACACACTGCCAGTGTACTGTAGGAGCAGTAAGAAGTCATGGGTGATCCAGCTCTTCTTCCAAGATGCCTCTGAATTGCTATGCCAGTGAAATGGAGAAGTACTGTTTAGAGAATAATGTACCTTTCAAGATTTTTCTTATTGTCAATAATGCTCCTGGGCATCCTTATATTGGTGATCTTCCTGATATCAAAGTGGTGTTTCTTCTTTGATTCAAATCAAGGAGATGTGGCAGCTTTTAAGGCCTACTACATGAGGAGGACCTTTGCTAGGCTAATGATGCAACTGAGAAAACATGATGCAATTCTGGAAGGATTACAATATCTATGACTGCATCAAGAACCTTGCTTGGGCCTGGAATGATGTCACCAATGAGTGTAGTTATGGCATTTGGAGGAAGACACTTAAGAGGTTCTTCCATGACTAAAGGATTTGCCAAGGTTGAGGAGGTTGCAAAAGTCAGTAAGGCTGTGGTTAAATGACAAACAACTTGAACTGGGGTGTGGGTAAAGATGACATTGAGGAGCTCCTAGAGGTGATTCCTGAGGAATTGACTAATAAGGAGGTATTGGAACTGGAACAGGAATGCATAGCTGAAGACGAGGCAAGAAAAAAGGAAACTTCAAAAGAAAAAGAAGAAGCCCCAAGAAAATTCACAGTGAAGAGTTTACCACAAGCTTTTCCAGACCTCAACAAAGAAAAATATCTTTTATAAACTTAGTGTAGCCTAAGTGTACAGTATTTGTAATATCTACATAGTGTATAGTACTGTCCTAGGCCCTCACATTCACTCACTACTCACTAACTCACCCAGAATAGCTTCCAGTTCGACAAGGTCCATTCATGTAAGGGCCCTATACAGGTATACTATTTTTTATCTTTTGTACTGTATTTTTACTGTACCTTTTCTATGTTTTAAAACAAAAAGACTTAATTGTTGTGTTATAATTGCCTACAGTATTCATTTTAGTAACATGCTGTACAGGTATGTAGCCTTAGAGTAACAGGCTATACCATATCGTCTTGGTATATAGTAGGCTATGCCATCTAGGTTTGTGTAAAAGCACTCTGTGATGTTCCCACAATGACAAAATTGCCTATGGACACATTTCTCAGAATGTATTCCCATCATTAAGTGACATGTGACTATATAGGACACCCAGCTGGTGTCATATTGCTTGGTGTGGGAAAAAACCCACATACATTTAGTGACCAGAGGTATCAGAAGTGAAGTAAAGATTAGAAGAGAGACACAGGAATGATTTTCTGCACAGCTTCTATGACATCTGGTTTTCTTCCTCCTCACAGTCTGTTCTATTTTGGTTTGTTTTTTTTTTAGTCCTCACCTGAGGGCATTCCATTTTTTGTTCAGATAGAATGGGAGCGGGGGAGAGAGAGGGAGAGCAACATTGATGTGAAAGGGACGCATCGAGTGGCTCCCACCCACACGACCCAACCAGGGCCGGGGACAAACTGCTACCAAGGTACGTGCCCTTAGCGGGAACTGAACCCAGGTTTCTCAGGACCACAGGCAGATGCTCTAACTGCTGAGCCAAACTGGCCAGGGCTATTTCAGTTTTTTTTATCTTATTTTGTTTGATATCTAAATGTTGAAGTGCCTCAGGACTTGGTCCTAGGACCTCATTTCATTTCTAGCTCTGCACCTTCCCTAAATTATGTAACCCAGTACCATAGCAGTATTGCTGAGGCCTGCACCTGAGTCTAGCCCCAGCCTCTCCCTGGAATGCTATTTTCATATATCCAACTATATTTTATATCTTTTTATGGAATATCAAATTTCAGCTTTCCAAAACAAAACTTATTCCCTTCCCCTACCTAACACCCCCTGTCTTTCTCCTCTAAACAAGCAGCTAACCAATTTCTCATATAGAAAATCTAAGCATTATTCTTGGTTACTGCCCCACCCATTCATCTTATCAGTAAGTTTTGTAAATGCTACCTGCACAATATATCCCATATCTTTCAATCTCATATCTACCATCCACAGTCATATCTCAACCAGATACTGTAACAGCCTCCTAACAGATCTCTGCTTTCACTCTTGCTTTTCTCCTAATAACCCATTCTGACTTTGAAACTGGAGTCATCTTTTCAACACTGAAGATGCATGGTCTCTTATTTAAAATCCTCCATTTAAAACCTTCCCATTGCACTTTGAATAGAACCCAAAGTTCTTATCCTGGCTTAACATGGTCTGATTCTTGCTTTATCACTCTAACATTGTTCATACCATTATTACCTTTTGCCCCTTGTGTTGCAAATACAGTGGCTTTCTTTCAGCTCCTTAAATGAGGATAATTTGTGAACCACCTCAGGGTCTTTGCATGATTAATTTTGGATCCTCCTATGACTGGGCACAGTTAGTGTTGCCATGCATGACTGGATGCATTTGCGTTCAATTGTTAGAATAAATGTCACCTCAGGGGGAGCCTTCTTTTTTATTTTTATTTTATTTAATTAATTTATTTTTGTTACAGATGTTTCTCCTTTTCCCCCCATTGACACCCTCCTCCCGTCCCCCTTCCCCCAGCATTGTTGTCTATGTCCATTGGTTATGCTTATATGCATAGGTTCTTTGGTTTAACTAACCCCCCCACCCCGAAGTTTGTCGGTCTGAACCCTACTTCTGTGTCTCTGGGTCTATTTTGTTCATCACCTTGTTTTGTTCATTATATTCCACAAATAAGTGAATCATGTGATACTTGTCTTTCTTCGTCTAGCTTATTTCACTTAGCATAATACTCTCCAGGTCCCTTCATGTCGTCTCAAAGGATGAGATCTTTCTTATAGCTGCACAGTATTCCATTGTGTACATGTACCACAGATTTTTTATCTACTCATCTATTGATGGATATTTGGGCTGTTTCCAGATCTTAGCAATTGTAAATAGTGCTGCTATAAACATAGGGGTGCATAGATTCTTTCTGATTGGTGTTTCAGGCTCCTTAGAATATATTCTTAGAAGAAAGATCACTGGATCAAATGGCAGACCAATTTTTAGTTTTTTGAGGAAACACCATAATGTTTTCCATAGTGGCTGTACCAGTCTCCATTCCCACCAGCAGTTACTAGATTCCCCTTTTGTCCACACCCTCGCCAGCACTAGTTGTTTGATGATTTGTTGATGGCAGCCATTCTGGCAGGTGTGAGGTGATACTTCATAGTTGTTTGAATTTGCATCTCTCTAATAATTAGTGACATTGAGCATTTTTTCATATGTCTCTTGGCCAGAGAGCATTCTTGATATTCAAATTAAAGTAACAATTAGATTACATTAACCTAATTTAGTTTCATTATACCTCTTATTACTACCTGATATTTTCTTGTTCATGTATTTGTTTCTAAATATCTTTCTCCCTTTAGTAGAATGTCAGTTCCATGAGAATAAGGGCCTTGCCTATTTTATTTACTGCTGTATTTCTACTGCCTAGTATTGTATCTAGCATAATAATAGACATTTAAACTCTTATTGAATGTACACATATGTATATAAATTCTATTTTATGTTAATATGTAACTTTAATGTTTTTGTTAGGTTGTTTTGTATTTCCTTTTATGAGCATTTGGGATGAGCTCCTAAATCGGCTCTCATTTGGAGAGAGAGTCAAGTAAAGCAGTTGAATCCACAAAACACAATTGGGAAATCGCATGCATGTTTTTCTTTTCTGAATATAATCTTGCTTTTTAGCCATGTGAACATTTATTTTTCAATATGAGATATGCATACTTTTAAAAAGATGTCTTCATTAATCCACATTGTGTCCTTAGGCCTTCAAAGAATGTAGATTAGCATGAAAATGTTGCACATAAGATGGTACTGGTTGATAGAACTGTTTTATTTTATTCCAGTTGGTTAGAAGCAAACTCTGAACATCTTGTGGAACGGGATTATGAATCATCCTGTAAAATATGGAGTGGAAGTGAAATGCTCTTACATTTACACAAAATGGGCATCACCACTGCTACTTTTCCCATTTTGCAAGTAAGATTTTTTTTCACCTATGGAAATTTATTTAGTGAATTAGAAATGATTACTAGTAAATAAGTTTATCCAGGGTAAAAGAAAGTGTAGCAATTTAATTGTTTAAAAATTTTATTATGTAAGTCTGATAATCTTGTGTGTGATGGCATAAATTGTGGATGAAAAAGTAGCCTTATTTAGTTAGAAGGAAATGAGGCTTTAAGGAATAAATTACTTGTTCAAAGATAAAAGAAGTCAATATTTTTGGGTTGTAAATTTATTTTGTTAATTGTAAAAGTTAAAAATTTAGAAAATAAAAAGATTAGAAATTCATGTTTTGCTCTTAATATAGTGGTTATATAAACCCAGGTGGATGGAGATCATGAGTGGGCCGTGGGATACTGTGAACATTATGAAATAGTATACAAAAGTTTATGAGTGTATACTTTTGTACATTTTTCTGAATAGAAGCTTCATGACATATACTTTCAAAGAAGTTTTTTTCCAGATGAGAATGTTTTTCTTTTTCTTTTTGTTCTTAATTACTTATTACTTATTTTACTTAGTGAAAATACTTTACCTTTTAGAGTAGTTGTTTTAGGTTTACAGAAAAATGTAGCAGAAAGGATAATACTCATATACCAGCTCCCATCTATACTACTATTTCTTCTATTATTGACATCATGTAATAGCATAGTGCATTAATACAATTGAACAAATATTGTTACATTATTGTTTACATTAGGGTTCACTCTTTGTGCTATACAGTTCTATGAGTTTGATAAAAACATAGTCATTTATCTACCAATATAATATCATAGAGAATTTTTCACTGCCTTAAAAGTCTTTTGTGCTATTTCAGCAATAACGATAAAAAATAAACTCTTTTATGCTGCACTTACTCATTCCTTCACTACACCTCATTTCCCTTGTTGAACCTCCCTGGCAACCACTGATTTTTTTTTTTACCTGACTTCATATTTTGCCTTTTCCTCAATGTCATGTATTTGAAAGCATATAGTGTATGGTCTTTGCAGACTGGATTCTTTCACTTAGCAGTATGCATTTCAAGTTCCTTCATTTCTTATTGTGATTTGATAGCTTGTTTCTTTTTATTGCTGAATATTGTATATATGTACCACAGTTATTTATCCATTCTACTACTGAAGGATACGTTGGTGGTTTCCAAGTTTTGGCAATTATGAATAAAGCTACTATAAACATTTGTGTGCTTGTTTTTGTATGGAGATGCTTTCTTCTCATTTGGGTAAACACTTAGGAACATGTTTGCTGGATTATATAGTAAGACTAAGTTTAACTTTGCAAGAAACTGCCCAACTGTCTTCTAAAGTGGCTGTACCATTTTACATTCCAACAAGCAGTGAAGGAGAGTTCCTGTTGTTCCTTTAACATCTTTTGCCTACCTTTCAATTGGGTTGTTTGTTTTCTTGTTTAGTTTTTTTTTTTTCCTGTATTGATTTGAGGGAGAGGGAGGAAGAGAGAGAGAAACATCGATGAGAGAGAACATCAATTGGCTGCCTCCTGCATGCTCCCCACTGGAGATTTGGCCCACAACCTGGGCATATGCCCTGACCAGGAATTGAACTGGCAACCTGTTGGTGCATGGGTCGACGCTCATCCACTGAGCCACACCGGCCAGGCTTCTTGCTTAGTTTTAAGAATTCTTTTCATATTTTGTATACAAGTCTTTCACCAGATGCGTGTTACAAATATATTCTTGCAGCCTGTGGCTTGTCTTTTTATTCTATTAACAGCATCTTTCAAGGAGCATAAGTTTTTAGTTTTCATAAAGTTCAATTTACCAGTCGTTTTCTTTGATGGGTCATGTTTTTGGTGTTGCATCTGAAAACTCATCACCAAACCCAAAGTCACCTAGATTTTCTTCTATCTTTTCTATCTGTTACTGGGCTCTCTATTCTCTTTCCATAGATCTATTTGTCTCTTCCTTCACCAGTACCACACTGTGTTGATTACTGCAGCTTTATAGTAAGTCTTGAAGTCGGGTAGTGTCAACCCTCTGACTTTGTTATTCAGTAATTGTGTTGGCACTCTGGCTGCTGTGGCTTGATTGGAGCATTGTCCCATGCACCGGTCAGGGCACATACCCAGGTTGTAGGTTTAATCCTGGTTTGGACATGTGCCTGAGGCAACTGATTGATGTTTCATATCAATATAAATATATATATATATTTTTATCCTCACCTGAGGACATTTTTGCATTTACCTTCAGATAGAGTGGGAGGGAGAAAGGGAGGAAGAGAGAGAGAGAATTATCGATGTGAGAGAGACACATCAATTGGTTGCCACCCTCACAACCCCAACTGGGACCAGGGACAAACCGCAACTGAAGTATCCCTTTAGTGAGAATCGAATCCGGGACTCTCTGGTCCACAGGCCAATGCTCTAACTGCTGAGCCAAACTGGCCAGGGCTCATGTTTCATATTGTTATTCCTCTCTCTTTCTCTCTCTCCCATCCTCTGAACAAAAAACATTTAAATATATTGGCTGTTCTGAGTCTTTTGTCTTTATACAATTTGATCAGTTTGTCCGGTCAGTGTGGCTCAGTGGTTGAGCACTGAGCCATGCACCAAGAGGTCGCCAGTTTGATTCCCAGTCAGGGCACGTGCCCAGGTTGTGGTGCTGATCCCCAGTGGGGGGCATGCAAGAGGTAGCCAATCGATGTTCTCTCTCATCGATGCTTCTATCTCTCCCTCTCCCTTTCTCTCTCTATAAAATCAATAAAGGAAAAAAATTTTTGATCAGTTTGTCAATATCCACAAAGTTACTTGTTTGGATTTTTATTGGGATTACATTGAACCTATAGATGAAGCTGAGAAGAGCTGGCATCTGAACAATATTGAGTCTTACTATCCAGGAACTTGGAATATCTTTATTTATTTAGATTTTTTTTATTTTTAAAATCAGAGATTTGTATTGTTCCTTATAGACTTAAAAGACATGCTTTTGAACCCCAAATAATAACTACTACCAACATGATCACCACTCACATTTTGGGCATATGAGTATTCAAATATTTTAATCAAACTATACTTATGCCCTGGCCAGTTTGGCTCAGCGGTTAGAGCATTGGCCTGTGGACCAGAGTCCTGGGTTTGGTTCCTGCTAAGAGCATGTACCTTGGTTGCAGTTTGTCCCCGGCCCTGGTTGGGGTTGTGTGGGTGGCAGCCAGTCGATGTGTCTCTCACAGCGATGTTTCTCTTGTCCCCACCCCCCTCTATCTGAAGATAAATGCAAAAATGTCCTCGGGTGAGGATAAAAATTAAAAAACAAAACCAAAAAAGCTATACTTACAATTTTCCCCTTAATTTAAAAGGTGCAATGTAGTATTATAAGTGTTTTTCCCTATTGTGACATCTTTTTATGATTTTTTGCATAAATGTTTTGCATTTTAAGGGTTATTCATATCAACAGTAAAATAGATAAATAAGTTTGAGAGATTCATATAGTAGACTACTACATTGCAATTTTTGAAGATGAACCATTGCTACCACAACCATATGAGTGAACCTTATAGACATAATGTTGAATAAAAGGAGCCAGACACAGAGTACAAACTGTATGATTTCATTTTTATGAAATTTTAAAACAGATGAACATAATTATACTAACAGAAGTCAGAATACTGGTTACCACTGTGTACGGGGAAGGAGCAGTTTAGACTGAGAAGGGGTAAAAGGGAACTATCTGGGATTCAAGGAATGTTTTGTATCCTGAATGCATGTTAATTACATAGGTGTGTGTGTATGTATGTATGTGTGTTAAGTGAGCTGTATATACCAGATTAGCACACTCTATATATTATTCTTTAATAAAAAATGTACAAATAATATGTAAAAGGAAAAAACTTAAAATACAGAAAGGTACAAAAGGAAAAATACTTTCTTCTGTGTATAGATTAGCTTAAATATATTTCCAATGTGACACATTTATTTGTAACCTCTTTTTTTTTTTCATTTCTTACCTGAGGATATTGTTTCATTTATCATCAGACAGAGTGGAAGGGAGGGAGAGACAGAGAAACATCAGTGTTCTAGAGCCACATTGACTGGTTGCCTCCTGCATGACCTGACTAGGGCTGGGGATGAACTGCAACCAAGGTATGTGCCCTTGACCGGAATTGAACCCGCGACTCCTTGGTCCATGGGCTGATGCTCTAACCATTGAGAAAACCGGCCAGGGCTTGTAGCTTCTTTTTTTTTTTTTTATCCTTACCCAAGGACAATTTTTGTTTTTGTTTTTTTGCATTTATCTTCAGACAGGGTAGGAAGGAGAGAGGAAGGAAGAGAGAGAGAGCGAAACATTGACGTGAGAGAGACACATCAGAGTGGTTGCCACCCACACGACCTCAACCGGGACCAGGGACAAACTGCAACTGAGGTACGTGCCCTTAGCTCAGTGGTTCTCAACCTTCCTAATGCTGCGACCCTTTAATACAGTTCCTTATGTTGTGGTGACCCCCAACCATAAAATTATTTTCGTTGCTACTTCATAACTAATTTTGCTACTGTTATGTCTTAGGTGACCCCTGTGAAAGGGTCATTTAACCCTCAAAGGGGTCACGACCCACAGATTGAGAACCGCTGCCTTAGCGGGAACTGAACCCGGGACTCTCTGGTCCACAGGCCGATGCTCTAACTGCTGAGCCAAACCAGCCAGGGCAGTAGCTTCTATTTTATTAACAATATATTATTTGTTCTTTTATATTTTGAAAAAGATTCTTTTACATGATTTTTAGCTTCCGTGTAGCATTTTTGTCAGTGTACATAGTCTGAAGCATTTGATTAATCTGGCATTTGAAATAGAGTTTTTTGTCTGTTTTCCCAGAATAAGAAACAATTCTGATTTGAACATTCTTGAAAATATATCTTTGTATATATTACTGATTATTTCCTTTACATATATATGTGTGTGAGATATAGATATACACACATTTTAAAAAATGTTTTTATTGACATATTTTTAATATATATATTTATGTATATATATATACATATATGTATATGTGTGTGTATATATATATATTTTTTTTTTTAGAGAGAGAGAGGAAAGGAGAGGTAGAGATAGAAACATCAATTAGCTGCCTCCTGCACGCCCCCTACTGGGGATCAAGCCAGCAACCGGGACATGTGCCCTGACTGGGAATTGAACCAGGACTTCTCAGTTCATGGGATGAGGTTTTCAGTCCACTGAGCCACACTGGCCGGGCTCCTTTATATAGTATGAATACTAATTCTTTGTTGCTTTTATATTGAATGTAGATTCTTGTGTCTATGGTTTGTTTATTGTGTATTTTTTCAAAAGATTTTTTAAATTTTAGTATTTTTTAAAAATGTATCAGTGTTTTTTTAAGTTGTCATATTTGAGTTTAGTTTCCACAGTCTTTCCTTATCATGTGTTACATTTTCTTCTAAAAGTGTTAAAGTAGCCCTGGCCGGTTTGGCTCAGCGGTTAGAGCGTCCGCCTGCGGTCCAGAGAGACCCGGGTTCGGTTCCCGCTAAGGGCATGTACCTCGGTTGCAGTTTGTCCCGGCCCTGGATGGTCGTGCGGGTGGCAGCCACTTTCGCATCGATGTTTCTCTCTCTCTCTTCCTCCCACTCTATCTGTACAAAAAATGGAAAAAGTCCTTGGGTGAGGATAAAAAATAAAATAAAATAAAATAAAAGTATTAAAGTATGTTTTTGTAAGGGGTTTCAATCAATCTGTTATTTGTTTTTGTTTATCTTGTGAGGTAGGAAATCTACTTTGATTTCCTGTTTGGATAGTGAATTTTCTCACCATAATTTACTACAGTTCGTCATTTTCCTCTACTTGTAATGTCATTTCTGTCACATATCTAATTTTCATTCATGTGTGAATTTATTTTTATACTCTATTCTATGATTCTGTTATCTAACCTTTCATATTTGTTTATTACTGTTAGAAAAATGCTGTGCTTATCTCCTCACTTTGTTATTTTCCTTTGAAATGATCTTGGCTATTCTTGGCGTTACTCTGCCATTTGAATTTTAGAATTAGCTTTGAGTTATCCTTTTAATTTTTTTTGTAATATAGTCATATTATTCTAAGCACTCTAGAAATAATTCAGGCATTTAGGTAGCATATCAACTCTTCAAAGCTCCTTAGAGAAACCATTTGGTAGGTACATTTTTATGAAGTTTATTACTTTTGAAGAACACCAAATAATAACAATTGTCTGAGGAAGTAATGAACTGCCTAAATAAGTAATTTTATTAAATGTCCTTAAAGATAATTTGGGAATCTAAAGCTGGTGTTAGCACTTGTGTATTGATAACGTTTGCCTAAAATTTCAATGTATGTTTTGTTTGGGTTTCGTTATAGTTCTGGCAAGTTCATTTTATTTCTTCACTCTCCCCCCACCCCTTCCTAGTATACTTAATGTTGTAATTTCTTATAGGGACATTTTTCTGCTGTCCTTCAAAAAGAAGAAAAAGTTTTATCGATTCATGGTAAAGAGGAGGCAAGAGAAGTACCTATTATTAGTGCTTCAACTCAAATAATGCTCAAAGGACTTTTTATGGTGCTTGACTATCTTTTTAGGCAAAATAGCAGGTAAATGAAAATATCTGATCTGTATTTTTTCTCTTAAACCTATTAGCCTTATTGGGTGTTAGCATGTGTTTAATACATTCTTATTTTGTGTGAGTACATAGGGTAATCATAAACAAGTAGTATAAATATTGCTCTTATTGGCACAGATTAAGATTAATTGAAATTAGTTTTTATTAATGGAAATGAGTATTGAAATCAGTAACCCACTAATTTAGCCTTAAATTTATAGTCCTCAAGGACTAATCGTAACCATTTGTTTTCTCTTAAATATAGTTTACATATGTTCCTTCTAGTGTTAGACAGTCTCTTCCTTATTATATAAAGCTAATATTTGATGAATTGTGGAAAATGAAAAGCAGTCAACTCACTACCCCTTGTTAAGTTATAGTGCTGCCTGGTTCCAGGGTTTTGTTTTGTTTTTTAAATTGTGGTATTATGTATAACATAAAATTTATCATCTTAACCATTTTTAATTGAACATTTCAGTAGCATTAAGTAGACTCACATTGTTGTACAACCATCACCACTAACCATTTCCAGAACTTTTCCATCATCCCAAATAGGAACTCTATACCCTTGAACAGTATTTCCCAAGTATTTCCTATTTCTCTTTCTTCACAGCCTCTATGAAAGTAGAACCTCTATTCTACTTACATCTCTATGGACTTGCCCTTTCTGGGTATCTCATATAAGTGGAATCATATATATTTGTTCTTTTGTGTCTGGCTTATTTCACTTTTCAAGGTTCATCCATGTTATAACATATATCAGAATATTATTATCTTTAATGACTGAATAATATTCTATTGTATGTATATACCACATTTTGTTTATCCATTCCTATGTTGTCATACATTTTGATTGTTTACACCTTTTGCCAATTGTCAATAATGCTGCCGTGAACATTTATGTACAAGTATCATATTGAGTTCTTGCTTTCACTTCTGGGTACATACCTAGCAGTGGAATTGCAGGATCCAAATTACCAAATATGGTAATTTTGTATTTAAGATTTTGAGGAACCAACATAGTGTTTTTCATAGCAGCCATACATTTTAGATTCTCAAAGTTATGCATAAGAGTTTCAACTTCTCTACATCCTTGCCAACACTTGTTCTTTTTTTTTTTTTTTAATAATAGCCATTCTAATGGGTATAGTGGCATCTCCTGTTGTTTTGGCTTATATTTTCCTATTGGCTAGAGATGTTGAACATCTTATCATGTGCTTATTGTCCATTTGTATGTCTTTATTGTGGAAATATTCAAATCCTTTGCTTATTTTTGAATTGTGTTTTTTGTTGTTGTTGAATTATAGGAGTTATTTTTTTTATATTTTTAAATTTTTTTCTAATCCTCACCCAAGGACATGTTTCCATTGAATTTTAAAGAGAAAGAGAGAGAGAGAGACATATTGATGTGAGAGAGAAACATCAATTGGTTGCCTCCTCTAGGTGCCCTGATTGGGGATTGAACCCACAACCTAGGTATGTACCCTGACCAGAATTGTACCTGAAACCTTTTGGTGTACAGAAAGATGTTCCAACCAACTGAGCCACCTGGCCAGGGCTGTAGAAGTTATTTAAATATTTACTCTCTTGATAGTGTCCGTTGATATACAAAAGTTTAAAATTTTTGAAGTTCAATTTATTTAATTTTTTGAAGTAAATCTATTTATTTGTGGTATTGGTATATCCAAGAAACATGGCTAAATCTGATGTCATGAAGATTTTCCCCTGTGTTTTCTTCTATAGGTTTTATAGTTTTTTGCTTTCAATATATATATTTAGTAATCCTCACCTGAGGATATTTTTCCATTCATCTTCAGATAGAGTGGAAAGCAGGAAGGGAGGGAGAGAGCGAGGAGGAGAGAGACATCAATGCAAGAGAGAGGCACATCGGTTTGGCTCAGCGGTTAGAGCGTCGGCCTGCGGTCCAGAGAGACCTGGGTTCGGTTCCCTCTAAGGGCGCGTGCCTTGGTTGCAGTTTGTCCCCGGCCCTGGTTGGTCGTGCAGATGGCAGCCACTCAATGTGTCCCTTTCACGTCGATGTTCCTCTCTCTCTCCCTCTCTTTCCCTCTCACTCTATCTGAACAAAAAAATGGGAGGAACGTTCTCGGGTGAGGATAAAAAAAAAAGAGAGAGAGAGAGAGGGGCACATCAATTGGTTGCATCCCGCATGACCTCAACCAGGTCCCAGGGCCGGGGACTGACCCACAACCAAGGTACATGCCCTTGACCAGAATCGAACCTGAGGTCTTTGATCAGTGGGCAGATGCTTTAACCGCTGAAACAAACTGGCCAGGGCAGCTTTCAATATTTTTATAAACTTCTCTCCACAGATTGTAGAGTTACTGGCTTGAACTTTGACACCTGATCTCACTAAGGGCAAAATTAACCATTTAAGCCTAGGTGTTTATAGCCTCTTATTGAAAGAAATTATAAAATGACGAAAGGTCATCTGGATTAGTACCTTTGTTAGAAATAGGTGAAGACTGAGACTCAGATCTTAAAGGAACTTAAAGTTTTTATAATTAGTCTCCTAAACTTTTAAAACTTTCAGTAAAAATTGCTTTTCTATTTTCTCACGTAATAACAAAGTATAAAAGGCTTCTTTAGCTTTTTTTTAGTAATAATTCTGTTATCTGCTTTGTAACTAATGATGTAACACAGAATGCAAAGAACTCTGAACTAGGAGTTAGGAGGCTTGGGTTTTAATTCTGGTTCTGCCATGATTTATTTAGTGTTTGAATATAGGGAGGGAAAGCAGTAAAGTGTTGATGGTTAGATGATATCTAATTTCTGCAAGAGGGGGTTGCTTCTAAGACTTAAAGGCTTATTTTCTGTCAGAGTTACTGAATTTAATTAGATGTGGGTGTTTTGTAGGGAAAATGTAATCTTTGAGTGGGATTATACCAGGACTCTCAATTTAGTTCTAATATACTAATCAGTTCTTATGTTGTATGAAGCTGAGACATTATATGTTTTATAAAATTTTGCCATTTAATTACCATTTTACTTTCATTTAGGTTTGCAGATGATTATAAAGTTGCTATTCAACAGACTTATTGTTGGATAAATTACACTGATATTTCAGATAAAAATGGGCTCTTTACTCCACCAAAAAATAAGAAACGTTTACGACAGAAAACTGCAGTTCATGTGCTAAACTTTTGGTGCTTAAATCCAGCTGTGGTAAGCTGATTGTTACATGTGAAAATTCTATCGTCTAACTCAATACAAACAATTAAATAAATGTGTCTGACTCTTTTAAAGATGATTTTATATATATCTAATGTTTCCTCCTAGGCCTTTTCAGATATTAATGGCAAAGTGTGGACGATTGTTTTGACATCTGGGACATTATCACCAATGAAATCTTTTTCATCAGAACTTGGTGTTACATTTACTATCCAACTGGAAGCTAATCATGTCATTAATAACTCACAGGTTAGAATTTCTTTTTGAAAGATTTCAGTCTTTCTACTTCAATATAATTCTACATAAACAAATTGGAAGATACCTAAGTACTAGCAAACAAACAGATCCTGATAGAAAATTCATCATTTCAGTTTTAGAATAAAATAAAATCTGTTAGCTACTTGATAGTATCAACAAAAAGGAAGTACTAATAAATGCATTCCTTCAACCCAGTGAGTAAAAATATACATTTTGGATGCAAAGACTGTACTGCAATTTCCTCACTTAAGTTTTAGTGGTTTTAAAAATTTTTTTTATCTTTATTGATTTTAGAGAGAGAGGATGGGAGAGAGAGAGAGAAACATTGGTGAGAGAGAACATCTATTGGCTGCCTCCTGCATGACCCCCACTAGAGACTGAGCCCACAACCTGGGCATGTGCCCTGACCGGGAATCAAACTGGCGACTTCTTGGTGCATAGGTTGACACTCAACCACTGAGTCACATTGGCCGGGCTACTTTTAGTGTTTTTTAATGTAAATTAAAACTAAAACAAAATTCAACTTCTTTACCATAATTTCTATTGTTGAATTATTTGTTTATGTATTTCTCTTTTCCATTAGGCTATGGTGTATCCTTATTCTTTTTATGTCCACATTCTTCCAATGCACCTAGATTAATATCTGGCATTAGTTAGCAAGTGTTCAGCATATGTGTGAGTATCTGAAATGAGTTAGAAATTTTATGAGTCCTGTGCCTTAAGATTTTTTTTTATCCTCACCCGAGGACACTTTTCCATTTTTTATTCAGACAGAGCGGGAGAGAGAGAGAGGAAGAGAGAGAAAGAAACATCGACGTGAAAGGGACACATCAAGTGGCTGCCACCCGCACGACCCAACCAGGACCAGGGACAAACTGCAGCCAAGGTACATGCCCTTAGCAGGAACCAAACCCGGGCCTCTGTGGACCATAGGCCGATGCTCTAACCACTGAGCAACCGGCCGGCGCTAAGATTTTAATTTTTTATAACAGAACCATATAAATGTTAATTTAGTTTTCCTAGGATTGTTTTAATTGTCGTTTGTTGATCTGTCTTCTGTTTCTTTTTATGAAGTAATTTAAAGTAGTTAACTGCATGTTTAACACCATCTTTGTTCCTAACACTATTCTAATTCTATATGAAGATATAATTTTCAACCAAGGTATATTTGTGGGGAGATTTTTGTTTCTCACAGTTATTTGGGAGGTACTACTGGCATTTAGTAGTTGAGAGCCTGAGTGATAAGATCCTGTATAACTAAGAATTGTGCTTTCCAAAATGTCAGTGCTCCTGTTTACAAACATTGCTATAAACAATAGCAAAAGAAAAATAAATGTTCCACATTTTAAAGTTGCTCTCTTTAAAGGCTGAAGTAAATATGGAAAGTTAATAGTAAATTCAGCATATATGAGACTACAAATAAGCTTTATGTTCTCAGTCTACTGCACAAAAGTTCATTTAACCAGTAATGTCACTGAATTATAATAATAATGCTAGTTCAGCGGAATTCTCTTATACTATAATATTTTCCCTCAACTTTTTAAAAATGTATTTTTTTATTTTAATTGGGTAAAATACATATAATGTAAAATTTACTATCTTAACTATTTTAAGTGTACAGTTCAGTCTTGTTAAGTATATTCACAGAGTTGTACAACCAATCTCTAGAACTTTTCTCTTTCCCTAAACAATAATTCTCTATTTCCCCCCTCCTCCGAGATCCTGGTAATTACTATTCTGCTTTCTGTTTATATGACTTTATAATTTAGATACCTAATATAAGTAGAATAATAAGGCATTTATTTTTGTGTGTGATTAGCTCATTTCACTTAGCATGATGTTTTTCAAGGTTTATTCGTATAGCAACAAAATCATAATTTCCTTCCTTTTTAAGGATGAATAATATTTCATTGTATGTATATACCACATTTTGTTTGTTCTCTCATTTGTTGATTCCCCCAGATTTTTATTTTCTACAGGTTTTAAAAATGTTTTTATTGGTTTTTTTTAGAGAGAGAGGAAGGAAGAGAGAGATAGAAACATCAATGTGAGAGAGATACACATTGATCGGGTGGCTCCTACTGGCCCCCTACTGGGGATCCAGCCTGAAACCCTGGCACATGCTCTGACTAGGAATCAAACTGGAATCTCTGTCCATGGGACTGAGCTCAATCTACTGAGCCACACAGGCCGGGCCAGATTTTTATTTTAAAGACTATAAACTTCAGAAAAGTAGAACAATAGTATTAATATAGTGAACATCTTATACTCTTCACCTAGATTCATCGATTGTGAACATTTTGCATATATATGAGAGAGAGAAGAATATTGTAGAATGTTAAAAATTACATTACATATGTGTGTATGCAATATATATGTAATATGTATGTAATACATATATAGCACATTTTTATGAACTGTTAAAAAGTAATTTGTAAACATGACACTTTACCCTTAATTAGTTTAACATGTCTCTCCTAAGAACAAGTACACAATTCTGCATAATCACAATATCCTGATCATTTAGTTTTTAAATTTAATCTTGATACAATAGAGTCAATTTTAAAAAAATTCTCATCCAAGGATATTTTTTCCATTTTTGTTCAGATAGAGTGAAAAGGAGAGAGAGAAACATTGATGTGAGAGAGACACATATCGACTGATTGCCTCCCAAATGACCCCAACCAGGGCCAGGATGAACCGCCACAGAGGTACGTGCCCTTGACCGGAATCGAACCTGGAACTCATTGGTCCTCTGGCCAATGCTCTAACTGCTGAGCCAAACCAGCCAGGGCAAGTCAGTATTTATATTTCTCCAGTTACTTTCAAAATGTATTTTAGCCCTGGCCGGTTTGCTAAGTGGTTAGAGCATCTCCCCATAAACCTAAGGGTCGTGGTTTCAAGGGCACATACATACCTGGGTTGCAGGTTTGATCCCTGGCCCCATTCGGGGTCGTGCTGGAGGCAACCAATCAATGTGTCTCTCTCATGTCAATGTTTCTCTCTCTCTCTTTGTGTCTCTCTCCCTCCTTTTCTCCCCCTCTCTTCTTCCTTTCCACTCTATCTAAAAATCAATGGAAAAATAGCCTCAGATGAGGATTAACAAAAAAAAAAAAAAAAAAAAAGCCTTTTAACCTATTTATTTTTTTATTGTTAATCCAGGATTCAAACAAGTATTATATATTGCATTTGTTTTTCATGTCTCTCTGGTCTGTAAAACAGTTTTCTTGCCCCCCCCCCCCTTTTTGTGTGTGTTCGTGACATTTTATAAAGAATTCATGTCACTAGTTTTCTTGAGGAATGGTTTATAATCTTGATTTATCTGATTGTTTCTTCATGATAAGATTTAGGTTAAATAGTTCGGTCAGAATACTATACAGGTATACTTTTCATTGCATTATATCAGGAAACATAGTGTCGGGTTTTCATATTACTAGTTGATCATTTAAGTAATAGTTGGTTAATGTGGTGTCCATCAGATCTCACCTTGCAAATCTCATATTATTTCAGAATATATAGTACTATTATATTTTTCATCAATCTGAAGTGTTTGTTTTTTATTTTATTGGTTTTTTTTAATCCTAACCCGAGGACATTTTTCCATATTTTGTTCAGATAGAGTGGGAGGGAGACAGAGAGAGAGAGAGAGAAACATCGACGTGAAAGGGACACATCGAGTGGTTGCCACCCGCATAACCCAACCAGGGCCGGGGACAAACTGCAACCGAGGTACATGCCCTTAGCGGGAACGGAACCCGGGTCTCTCCGGACCGCAGGCCGGCGCTCTAACCTCTGAGCCAAACCTGCCAGGGCGATCTGAAGTGTTTGTATTGTCAGCAGATTACTAATATAGTTTGTTTTTCTCTTTTTTTTTTTTTTTTTTATCCTCACCCGAGGATATTTTTCCATTTTTTTTGTACAGATAGAGTGGGAGGGAGAGAGAAGAAGGGAGAAAGAGTGAGAAACATCGACGTGAAGGGACACATCGAGTGGCCACCACCCGCACGACCAACCAGGGCCGGGGACAAACTGCAACCGAAGTACGTGCCCTTAGCGGGAACCGAACCCGGGTCTCTCCGGACCGCAGGCCGACACTCTAACCGCTGAGCCAAACTGGCCAGGGCTGTTTTTCTCTTTTTTAAAAAGATATGTTTTTATTGATTTTTTTTTTAGAGAGAGAGGAAGAGAGAGAGAGATAGAAACAGTGATGTGGAAGAAACATTTATCAGTTGCCTTCTGTACACCCTGCACTGGGGATCGAGCCCGCAACCTGGGCATGTGCCCTGACCAGGAATCGAACCAGGACCTCTCAATCCATGAGACGACATTCAATTCTTTGAGCCACACAGGCCAGGCTGTTCTTTCTCTTAATCAAATTAACTACACTAGGCTAGATCTGTATGAGTTTAGAGAAATTGCATAGAACTGTAATATTTGATGTGTTTGATTTTTCTTTTTTTTTTTTATGACTATAGATCTTTGAACTTCAGTGAAAGAGTCGTTTATGTCATAGTTGAGTCTTAGAAACTTGCCTATAGCAAATCATACCAACCCTTACCTCTAATATTTTACAACTATTTTTGATTTACCCATTTCATTTGTTAAATCATCCAACAAAATTGTGTTACATGCTTAATTGTGAAAAGCCATTTAGGGAATAGATAAGTGAAACCCTTTTTGCTTTCATCCTTGGAGAATTCAATGATCTGTCTAAAAGTAAAACTATAAATTAAATCTATATAAAATTATTTAAAGGGAATTTAAAAATAAATTTCCTCTAAACTTGTTGTTTGATCTTTTAACATGTATATAATTAAGGCTCTCAATTAAATTCTAATTTGCCTGCCTAATTTAGGCATAACTCTAATGCTGATATATTTATATTCTAGGTTTGGGTTGGCACCATTGGGTCAGGCCCCAAGGGTCGGAATCTCTGTGCTACTTTCCAGCACACAGAAACATTTGAGTTCCAGGATGAAGTGGGAGCACTTTTGTTATCTGTGTGCCAGACTGTGAGCCAAGGAATTTTGTGTTTCTTGCCATCTTACAAGGTAGGGGAATATTTATTGTTTCTTTTGCCTTTAAAAAATCATGTAGGGGTTACCATGATTAGCTTCTTAGGGTCAGAAGCAACAGGGGAATTACAGTTTTCTAAACATCATATATTGTTTACTTTCTTTATTAATTAAGGCATTGCCTGACTGTTCTATCACTGTTTTTGACCCGACAGTCTAAAAGACTAAAACGTTTTCAAGCAATGTTAATTATATAACAGGACTATTTATGTGTATGGGATTTTATTCTTAGAGGCAGTTTGGTATTTTATAGTTGAAGGGAACAGGAACATTCTTTTCCATTTTTATAAATTACACCTTTGAAACTTGCAGTAATTTGAATCTAAACTCAACTTTCTTTGTTGCCTATCTTTTTCTTCATGATTTTTTTTTCTTATTTTTAGACTCACTCTGATTTTTGTTTCTGTTTGTTATTAATCTTCAGTTGAGATACTTTTTCCATTGATTTTTAGAGAGTGGAAAGGAGGGGGGAGAGGAGGGTGGAGAGAGAGAGAGAGAGAGATGTGTCAGAGAGACACATCGATCAGTTGCCTCCTGAACTTACCTGCACGAGGATCGAACCTGCAACCCAGGTACATATCCTTGACCAAGAATCTAACCTGAGACCCTTTGGTGCTCGGGCTGACACTCTAACCATTGAGCAACACTGGCCAAGACCATTTGAACTATGTTTTTTGTTATTTTTTGTTACAGATTTTTCTCCTTTTTAACCCCATTGGCACCCTCCTCCCCATTCCCCCTGTCCCGTCCCCGGCTTTGTTGTCCATGTCCATTGGTTATGCATACATGCATATAAGTTCTGTGGTTTATCTCTTCCCAACCCCACCACCCTCTCTTCTGAGGGTTGTTAGTCTGTACCCTACTTCCATGTTTCTGGGTCTACCCTATTCCTCAGACTGTTATATTCATTATATTTCATATATAAGTGAGATCATGTGGTATTTGTCTTTTTCTGCTTGGCTTGCTTCACTTAGGATAATACTTTCCAGGTCCCTCCATGTCATCCCAAAGGATAAGAGATCTTTCTTTCTTACAGCTGCATAGTACTCCATTGTGTATATGTACCATTGCTTTTTTATCCATTTGTCTACTGATGGACACTTGGGCTGTTTCCAGATCTTAGCTATTGTAAATAGTGCTGCTATGAACATGGGGGTACATATATCTTTCTGATTGGTGTTTTAGGCTTCTTAGGGTATATTCCTAGAAGCAGGATCACTGGGTCAAATGGAAGTTCAATTTTTAATTTTTTGAGATAACACCATATTGTTTCCCATAGTGGCTGCACCAGTCTGCATTCCCACCAGCAGTGTCCTAGAGTCCCCTTCTATCCACACCCTCGCCAACAATTATTGTTTGATGATTTGTTGATGGCAGCTGTTCTGACAGGTGTGAGGTGATACCTCATTGTTGTTTTAATTTGCATCTCTCTGATGATTAGTGATGTTGAGCATTTCTTCATATGTCTCTTAGCCATTTGTATGTCCTGTTTGGAGCGGTGTCTATTCAGCTCCTCTGCCCATTTTTTAATTGGGTTCTTTGTCTTCCTTTTGTTGCGTTGTATGAGCACTCTATATATTTTGGAAATTAACCCTTTATCTGATGTATCATTGGCAATGATGTTCTCCCATACAGTGGGTTGCCTTTCCATTTTGATGATTGTTTCTTTTGCTGTGAAGAAACTTTTTAGTTTGATGTAGTCCCATGTGCTCATTTTTTCCTTTGTTTCTGTCTCCTTAAGTGATGTATCAGTGAAAATTCTGCTGTGTATGATGGCCGAAATTTTGATGCCTACATTTTTTTCTAGAATTTTTATGGATTCACGGGTCACATTTAAGTCTTTTATCCATTTTGAGTTTATTTTTGTGTATGGTGTAAGTTGATGGTCTAGTTTCATTTTTTTGCATGTAGCTGTCCAATTTTCCCAACACCATTTATTAAAGAGGCTGTCTTTCTGCACTGTATGCTCTTGCCACCTTTGTCAAATAATAATTGAGCATATTGCCTTGGGTCCATTTCTGGGTTCTCTGTTTTGTTCCACTGGTCTATATGCCTGTTCTTGTGCCAGTACCAGGCTGTTTTGATTACAGTCTCTTTGTAGTATAACCTGATATCTGGTATTGTGATCCCACCTGCTTTGTCCTTCTTTTTCAAAATTGCTGTGTCCATTCAGGGACATTTTTGGTTCCATATAAACTTTTCAAATATTTGTTATAGTTCTGCGAAATATGTCGTTGGTATTTACACGGGGATTGCACTGAATCTATAGATTGCTTTGGGTAGTTATGGGCATTTTAATGATGTTAATTCTTCCAACTCATGAACACGGTATGTGCTTCTACTTTTTTATATCTTCCTCTATTTTTTTTTTTATCAATGTCCTGTAGTTTTCTGCAAATAAGTCCCTTACTTCTTTGGTTAAGTTTATTCCTAGGTGTCTTAATTTTTTTGCCGCAATGGTAAGTGGGATTGTTTTTAGTTTCTCTTTCTGTGAGTTCATCATTGGTGTATAAGAATGCCGTCAATTTCTTGACGTTAATTTTGTATCCTGCTACTTTGCCAAATGCATTTATTAAATCTAGTAGATTTTCAATGGAGTCTTCAGGATTTTCTATGTATCATATGTCATCTGCAAATAATGACGTTTCACTTCCTCCTTTCCAATTTGGATCCCTTTTATTTTTTCAACATGTCTGATTACTGTGGCTAAGACTTGCACTACTATGTTAAATAAGAGTGGCGAAAGTGGACATCACTGTCTTGTTCCTGTTCTTAAGGAAAATGTTTTTACTTTCTGCCCATTGAGTATGATGTTGGCTATAGGTCTTTCATATATGGTTTTTATTATGTCAAGATATGATCCCTCTATTCCCACATTGCTGAGCGTTTTTATCACAAATGGATGCTGGATTTTGTCGAATGCTTTTTCAGCATCTATTGATATGATCATGTGGTTTTTATTCTTCATTTTGTTTATGTGGTGTATCACATTTATTGATTTGCGAATATTGTACCAGCCTTGCATGCCTGGAATGAATCCCACTTGGTCATGGTGCATAATTTTTTTGATGTATTGCTGGATCCGATTTGCTAGTATTTTGTTCAGGACTTTGGTATCTATGTTCATCAGGAATATTGGCCTGTAGTTTTTTTTCTTTGTAGTGTCTTTTTCTGGTTTTGGAATTAGAATTATGCTGGCCTCATAGAATGAGTTTGGAAGTCTTGCTTCTTCTTGAATTTTTTGAAATAGTTTGAGGAGAATGGGTGTTAGTCCTTTTTTAAATGTTCGGTAAAACTCCCCAGTGAAGCCATCTGGTCCTGGGCTTTTGTTTGCTGGGAGAGTCTTGATTACCTCTTCAATTTCCTTCGTTGTTATTGGTTTGTTCAAGTTTTTTTATCTCTTCCTGGTCCAGTTTTGGGAGACTGTACATTTCTAGAAATTTGTCCATTTCACTTATATTGTCGAATTTGTTGCCATATAGTTGTTCATAGTAGCTGTTAACGATCTTTTGTATTTCTGTGGTGTCAGTTGTTACTTCTCCTCTTTCATTTCTGATTTTGTGTATTTGGGTTCTCTCTCTTTGTTTCTTTCTTTTTTCTTTTTTTTTTTTATCCTCACCCGAGGACATTTTTTCCATTTTTTGTTCAGATAGAGTGGGAGGAAGAGAGGAAGAGAGAGAGAGAAACATCAAGTGGCTGCCACCCGCACGACCAACCAGGGCCAGGGACAATCTGCAACCGAGGTACGTGCCCTTAGTGGGAACTGAACCCAGGTCTCTCTGGACCACAGGCCGACGCTCTAACCGTTGAGCCAAACCGGCCAGGGCTCTCTTTTTGTTTCTTGGTGAGTCTAGCTAAGGGTCCATCGATCTTGTTTATCTTTTCGAAAAACCAGCTCTTTGTTTCATTGATCCTTTGAATTGTTTCTTTGGTCTCTAAGTCATTTATTTCTGCTCTGATCTTTACTATTTCCTTCCTTCTACTTGCTCTGGGGTTTTCTTTTTGTTTGCTTTCTAATTCTTTAAGTTGTGAGGTTAGACAGTCAATTAGAACTTTTTCTTGTTTCTTGAGGTAGGCCTGTAGTGCTGTGAACTTCCCGCTCAGAACTGCTTTTGCTGCATCCCATAGATTTTGTGTTGTTGTGTGTTCATTTTCATTGGTTTCCAGGAAGTTTTTAATTTCTTCCTTGATCTCCTCGGTAACCCATTCATTGTTTAATAACATGCTATTTAGCCTCCATGTGTTCAAATGTCTTTGCATGTTCTTGTTGCAAATGACTTCTAGTTTCATGCCATTGTGATCTGTGAAGATGCTTGAAATGATTTCAGTCTTCTTGAACTTGTAGAGATATAGTTTGTGTCCTATCATGTGGTCTATCTTTGAGAATGTCCCATGTGCACTTGAGAAGAATGTGAATTCTGTAGTTTTGGGGTGTAATATTCTGTAGATATCTATTAAATCCATTTGGTCTACTGCTTCATTTACAGTCTCTGTTTCCTTGCTGATTTTTTGTCTAGAGGATCTATCCACTGGTGTCAACAGGGTGTTGAAGTCCCCTGCTATGAATGTATTGCTGTCGATTTCTCCTTTGAAGTCCTCCAGAAGATTTTAAATATATTTTGGTGCTCCTATATTGGGTGCATGTATGTTTATCAAGGTTATATCTTCCTGTTGGATAGATCCTTTCAATATTATGTAATGGCCTCTTTGTCTCTAGTTATGGTCTTCATTTTGAAATCTATTTTATCAGATATGAGTATTGCTATCCCAGCTTTTTTTTTTGCTTTCCGTTTGCTTGGAAAATTTTTTCCATCCCTTCACTTTCAACCTGTGTGAGTCTTTTGTTGTGAGGTGGGTCTCCTGTAAACAACATATAGATGAGTCATGCTTTCTTTCTTTTTTTTTTTTTAAATCTTTATTGTTGAATGTATTACATATGTTCCTCATTTTTCCCCCGTTGACCCCCTCCTCCCCAC